CATTTTCTTTATGCATTCATCTGTTGATGGACACCTGGGCTGGTCCATGACTTGGCTCTTGTAAATTGTGCTGCTAAAAATGTTGATGTGCCTATATCACTGTAGTATGCTGATTTTAGATCATTTGGATAAACACCAAGGTGTAGGATAGCTGGGTCATATACTGGTTCCACTCCAAGTTTTCTTGAGGAATTCCCTACTGCTTTTCAGAGTGGCTGTATTGGTTTTCAGTTCCACCAAAGTATAAGTGTATCTCTTTCTCATATCCTTGAGGAGGGATGAGAAAGGAGAGGAAATTGACAAAATTATGCTATGTATATATGAATATACCACAGTGAATTTCACCATCATGTTTATGAAGTGCTAATTTAAAAAACTAAATAAAAAATCCATTTCCTTCTATTTCTTTCACTAGTTTCATAAACTAGTGAAGATTCAAAGCACTTACACATATATATTGAATGATTTTAACAACTATATCCATCATGGCCATGGTGCTTTTCATGGAATCTGTTGTAAAAACTGAGCATAAATATTTTTAGTATGTTTCACAGAGTAAATAAAGCAATAAGGGAAACATCAATCTCTTGTTTTAAAATCCCATTAAATCCCAATATAGCTGGAGTACTATCTGTCATGATAAAAACTAATTTTTTCATATCTAGGAGAAATTATTCTTTGATGATACAAATAAAACATTGAAAATATATGTGTCGTAAGTTTGATCTTTTAGGTCATGAATTGATAACATTTCTTCATAGATTTGGATGTCTTTTGAAAAAATGTATTTAAAATATTAATGGAACAGTGTTTTATATTGCATGATTCAACTAAAACTAAAGAATGATACTTAGAGATTTTCACATTTTGAATCCATTAATTTTTCATTAGAAAGCACTTGTATTCTTTGAGCAATTGTTTTGAAATATACTTGAAAAATGAATTTTCTAAAATATATATTTAAAAACATTTTTCATGATTTTATAACAAGTTTTCATAACTGAAACAATAACAATTTTCATAATCTTTCCATCTGAAATGTTTTTCTTTTTGGTGCAAGAATCCACAATGTTTTTTAAACAAACTCAAATTCTGTTAAAAAATCATTATACTTTTTTTGTTGGGTGTTTGTTTCTGATTTATTTAAATATTTCAAATATTTTTTAAACCATTAAGTGAAAACTTTTGATCCAATTCACCATGTAGTTGTTGAAAATTCCTCAATATTGTTCACTTTATTATTTTTCAATTTTTTAAACACCCAACAAAACAGCTCTGCCATAGTATGATGCATCATAAGCATGTTCTTTAGATAAATTGACCCTTCTGTAGTTATGAAATGACCCTTTAGTACCTGATAACATTATTTGCTCTAACATCTATTTTTAATGATAAAATAACAACTTCATTTTCTTTGATTATTAGTAGCATGGTATATCTTTTTTTTAATCATTTTACTTTCAGATTATTGGTGTCTTTATATTTAAAGTAAGTTTCTTGTTGCTGATATGTAGTTTGGTTTTGCTTTTTTAAAAGCAGATAATCTGCCTTTTGATTATATGAGTAATGATATGGTTTGTATAAGTATACCAATTATATTACTTGTTTTCTGTCTGTCACACATTCTCTTTTCTCTTTTTTTTCTCCTTTTTTTCTCTTGGTGAGGATGGTGCTGGGTGTTGATTTTGGGGCCTTGTACATGTTAGGCAAACACTCTATCACTGAGCCAAATCCCCTGATCTTCCTTCTTTTCGATTCATTAGCGTTGTATGTGTGTGTGCATGCATGCTTTCATTTTATCTCCTTTGTGAGGTTATTACCTGTAACTGTTGTGTTTTCTCAGTTTGAAATGTTGCTTTAAGGTTCAGAGTAAATATCTTTACCTTAATCTA